CCACCTTCTCCAAGCTTATTTGAATCAGAGAATTTGTTGGTTGCTGCATGTATAGATGCCAAACTGATATAGGGGTACTCTTGAGCTTTCGGGCTTCTTCTTTTAAAACTTTGTTCAGGTAACAATGCATTTGGTCCTAAATTCTCACTATTTCCTGGACAGAGAGAAAAAGAAAAATACTGCTTTCAGAAAACAAATTAGGGTGAGCTTCGAAATAAACTCTTTCAGAAGCAATAATATTACCCATTTTGTTCCTTCTCTTTGCAAGACAGACACAAGAACCCAAAACTAGTATGGCTAGACATGCTGACACAATTGTAAGGATTGTGATCATCCATATTTTCCTTCCTCTGCCTGCATTTAGAAACAACCATTTGCAGTATATAATTAATTTTCCTTGTGAAAGCCGCACAAAGTAGACACAAACTTTACAAGTACTCACCATCCCCTTTGTTATTATTCGGATTGCTCGAAATAGAAGCTTCAGTTGCACCATCATAGAAGGCATATAACTCATACCTCACGTAGCAACTACGGCTCAAAAGTCTTGCACCAATGGAGAAATAGAACTCCCTTAAAACGTCTTTTATGGCTTTCTGAAGGCAGTGACCACAGTCATCTCCAGATAAGTCTGTAGTGCACTGCACAAGAGCATACACCACTTTATCTTCAAAGGGCACATCTCGAGTAGCATACATCTTAGCCGAAAGATTATAAGCCGCTTGCTTGGCCAGGCCTCTCAGTGTCTCATTCACAACAGACTCAAACTTTTCAGGGTCCGAAATATTTTTCTTGTTATCTAAGGGAATGTTGTCTGCTACATTCAACTTGCCAAAGAAATTCGCATCAGAGTAACGCAACTGACACATTTCCTCCCACACAACGGCTTCTTTCGAGCTGGGACAAAGCGTCACGATGGCAGACTGTGCGGTGTTGATGCAATCGCGACATGTCTCATTTGTAACATAGTTGAGGCACATGTAGAGACCATAAACTCTGTCTGCAGGGTCATTTCCAGTGGATGTATTATACAGCTTGGAAACAGAAGCATTTGAAGGTAATGAAATGAGTAGGCTGCGGAGGTTTTTCTGAAACGTACTGTTATCTGCATAGTTGCTAACGTTACCCGAGCATTTCCAATAAGGAGGATCAGCAAAAGCTAGATCAAAAAGGAGGGAGATGAGAAAACAAAGCAAAAGTGGCAGAATGGTTTTCGGAAATTGAACCATATTTCAGTCTGTGCTAGTATCATAGCAAAAGAATGATACCACTTTTAAATAGCTAAGTCTTCTCCTTCCTGCTTGACCTTTTGGCTACAACTACCAGAAGCAATTCGTTAGTTTTGTGCTATCTCTCAAGTTTAACAATGGAATTAAGAGGTAATTTCTTGGAAGAGTTGTTAATTAAGTAGCTAAAGTAAAATCACATCAATGAATGTCCTAAGACGTAATTACCACTGAAACACATGGCAAACATATTTTATGCATTTCTTTATTTTTGTGCGGCACGAGGTTCTTGACTTCTGACCCCAGGAAACAACCTTCACATATAAATAAAAGAAGACCAGGAAAAATCAATTGGCTGTAGTGTCCTGGAATTTGTTCAGTTTAAAAGATTTATTGACCGAGACTAATAGATAATGACAAGGACATCATAAATCTATAAAATAACTATAACATAAATCCGTCACAATTAGACATAAACATGTTTTGGAGTGCTTCTGTAAATGTCAAACGTTGTTAAAAACACTTTTAATTACATAAAAGCGCTTTTAACTTCCCTATGACAAACTCACTATGACAAGCTCACTACATCAACCAATTTTGTTGAATTATAACATGTTTCAGACAGAGTGATTTTGTTCATAATCGCTTAATACATTGAATTTCTTATTTAAAATCATTTTAACTTGCTTTTGTCTCCTAAAATCATTTTTAGTTATCTGAAAGCGTTTTCGTAACTACACAAGCTCATTAGCCCAGCTCCCTAACCAATTATGCTCTAGAATTGGGCTTGGGTTGGCATTTTTAAGCCCAATCTTTGTCTTGGTCCAACTTAAGCCAGCAAACGTAGATCAAGTTGCAGGCTGTCCCTAGGCCCAATAAACATACTCTCCGCGCGAAAGCGAAGTAGCAATGGTAGATATATAGTTGGCTTCAGGTTTTAAATTTTTGGTTGGCTTCAGGTTCAGACACAAACCGCCAACACTGCGCTCTTCCCTCCTCACTTCTAGTCACTCCTCACTTAATGGCACTCGCTCTTAGAAGATTTGCAGCTTCATTCGGCTACCCGCCACATTTCCAATGCGTTCGAGCCTTGTCTCCGTTGCGCTTTGCAAATAGTTACAGTTCCTTCGTGTCGTGTGACTCGTCCGGTAAGTCCCGAACCTGCTTGTGAAAATGTCTCTTAGACAATCTGTTTGGCATTAACTGCCATTTTCGTACATGCTCTGCATTTCAAGATTAGAGGACGGCGTTGGCGCTGATCATCCAGAATTCCGAAAGTGGCATAATGGCGGTGGGTCGTTCCACAAGTTTGCCTGCATTGACCCAACAGTTTTCATTGAGTTTGGTGCTGTTGTTCATTCAAAATCCGTGGTGGGCCAGCACGCTCATATTGGTTCTGGAGCTGTCGTTGGACCTTGTGTTACAATTGGGCAATCAACAAAAATAGGGTAGTGATCAAATCTTTTACTTGACATTGTCTTGTTAAAGTTTACACTTAAGAGTTGCCAATTTGAAATTTATTTGATGTTAATGGAGTTACCACGTTTCTGATCTCTGCAGCTACAATGTTGCACTCAGTAATTGTAGTATAGGAGATTCGTGTATAATCCACAATGGCGTATGCATCGGTCAAGATGGTAAGGCCACTTTATGTAGGCTTTGATTCATTTGATGCAGCTAATGAAAGCTAAAGGAATATAAATCTGTTCGGTTGGAATCTGATCTTGATGAATTATAAGTGTGCCCAATAGCATATTGGGAATATTGATATGAATCATGATTTAATATGAGTACTGTTTGATGTGAGCCGATTGATATTGGCATCTGATATTCAGGCGATGTTGTTTATCTACAGGATTTGGATTTACGGTGGATGAGCATGGGAATATGTTAAAGAAGCCTCAAGTTAGTGATTTTTTATTTATTTATTTATTTTGTACTTCAATTGAAGTCTATTTTAGTTTTCTTTCTCTTTCATTTTGCTTTTGAGCATATTTCTCTCATGTAATTTGAATTTCTGAATGAAATTATGGAACTTTAGTGTTTGAAAATCAACATAATTATTTTTATACTGGGTCGTCACATTGCATTATGTGGGTATGAGAGTCTTCATATGTTTGACTTATATGACCATACAGGTTATCTATGCATATGCATACAACTGTAGAATGCAAGCATCTTATTGTATGTCTTTCTTGTTCTTCATTCCATACCCAAGATGCTGAATGCTAGGGTAGGGAACTATGTGGAGATTGGTGCAAATACATGCATTGACAGGGGCAGGTGAGACATATAGCCTTTTATATCTTTTACACTGATGTTTCATGCATGATTATAGTTTCTGAATCAGTTAGTACTCTAATACTGTTGAAGTTTGACTACTAATTAAAACATATTTTGGTTTATGCAGTTGGAGAGATACGGTTGTAGGGGATCATTCCAAGATAGATAATTTAGTTCAGGTTGGCTTTTGCCTTTTGCATTGTTGGCTGAATTTCCTGGAACATATGGTTATCTGTTTGCTTGGGTTTGCAGATCGGTCATAATGTAGTTATTGGGAAGAGTTGCATGCTTTGTGGACAAGTTGGGATTGCAGGCTCAGTGACGTACGTTCTCTCTCTCCCTCCCCCTCCTCCTTTCCCTTTCCTTTTTATTGTGGATTTATAAAGTTCACCCTGGTATATGAATATGATTCAGTTTCACTTCAATGAATTTGTCAACGTTCCAAAAAATCTGCCAGTCTAATGACTTTATTCTCTTTTTTGTCTTGTAGGATAGGAGACTATGTAACTATGGGGGGAAGGGTAGCAGTTCGTGACCATGTCTCCATTGTATCAAAGGTGTTTGCTTACATAAAATGACCCAATCTACTAGTAGCCTAAATTAGTAATGACTTGTCACTTGTGGAAGAACTCGGTCTTCTATTTAAATATCATTTCGGTTTTGAAGGTTGGAAGAGGCCGAGAATCTCACGTTCTTTTTCATTTTTCCATTGTTATTTTATCTCATTCTTTTCATGCTCTCGCATTTTTTAATTGACTAGGAGTATGGTTGAATATCTTATTGCATGGACTTTGCAGGTACGACTTGCCGCTACTAGCTGTGTCACGAAAGATATTACAGAACCTGGAGATTATGGTGGCTTCCCAGCTGTAAGTGCCATCTTTGTACTTTCTTCTGAAATTCTTTTCATGCATTGCGTACCAAAAATAATGTAGTTGGTGCAGGGTGATTGTTGGATGTTTGGGTTTGATATCCAACTGATATTCTAAATAGCTTAATTTGGTTGTGTTTCAGGTTCCAGTCCATGAGTGGCGAAGACAAGTTGCAAACTACTGTCGAACATCAAAAAAGCGGAACCCTTAGAATCATTAGAAAGGAAACTCAGGTTCACTCTTATGTTATTAAACCCTTGCACTGTTATTATGAGCTTTGCTGGGACTGCGCTTAGCAAAGATAACTACTCAGGGATTATGATCTAGACATAAATGCAATTTGTTCACTGCTCTACTATGTGTTCCTATATTCATGAACTGCCGATAGCACCCTTTGCTTCATGCATTGAACTGTTGTAATCAAACAACAGAAACCAAAAGTAGAAACGATAATTCTTCTACATTTAATACTTACAAAATCAGAGTGTGGATGTGAAACTAACATGAACAAACAACCTTAACCTGATACTTCTTAACAGTGTTTGATAAGATTGAATCTACATTATTTTAGCAGCTGTGAGATTTTAAACAGATAAGTATGAAGTAAATTTGATTCATTCTTTAATCCTTATAAAAAATAGTAAAAGTAAAAGTTCTGGAATTTTGGAGTGGGTTTGCGCCAGCCCTCTTGGCTCTTAGTTTACATTAATAAAGCATAAGCCAAAAACCCTTAAATACTGGTCCCTTGCATGAGTTTGCAATGTACCATTATCATTTGCAGAGATTTAGGCAGCTACAGTAACAGTAGGGACAATAATCAGTATATTATAAACAAGACCATGAAATTTAGGCAGCTATATTGTAAATTTGCAACATCTAGTATAACAATCGTTGTCTGGTACTCCTCCATTTCTTGGAAGCACGGCGTAGCTTAATTTTCTTCTTCTTACCAAAAATCTTACCATCTGAACCAACCAATAATTTACCTTGCAAGTGTAATCCATGATGCTTACTCTTCACTCCCCATGTTCTATATCGAAGCCGAGTTAGTAATGCCACCTTCAGTTCTGCAGTTGCATTGGATATGGAATTGCGAATAGCTTTCCAAACTCGTGGGTTGACATCCACAGAATCAGTCACTTCACGGGTTTTACCTCTTCCTTGACGAAAAGAAGGTATGGTTTTCTCCCCAACAGTATCTGACCCATAATACAATCTCAAAATGGTGTCATCATAGTAAATACTAGAGTCTTTGTTGGAATTTTTAATTTCAAGGACGTATAAGATAGAGCCATTTTGACCCCCATTGTCTATATCGGACTTTGGGATGGTGATATCCACAATGGTATACTCAGGAGATTCTGGACGTAAGGCCAACCATAGAACGAGGGCTAGGAGACCCAAGAGGCCGAAGAATTGTAGAACCCATAAGTAGAAATTCTTTGTCTCGCACATTTTTTAAGACTGAACATAAAATATTGACTTCTGATTGTTTAAATGAATTTGGTTGCACTAATTGAGAAGGAGAAGGGAGAAAAGACGTGAATTATGCAGTAAGAAAGGAGCAAAAGTGGGAATATCAAAGGGTGTTTGGTTGTCATGTAAGTTACAAGAGGATATGTTCTTTTCTTCTAGAGTGAGTTGAATGGGGTATCAGCCTTTGCTGTTGGAGCAGAAAGTAATATGTGGGAAACTAAAGCGTTAGGTTAATGTTTGTGAAACTTTCATACATTTGATTCCCCACGAGTTGATCCTTGGAAGAGAAGGAACATGATTCTTTACTTGTGTAGGATGTAATTGCTTTAATGCTTATCTGGAGTTAGTTTTCCTTTGGGAGACTAACCTGCAACCAAAGTTTTGCAACCTAGGTTAATTCCACTTTCCAGCAGAGAAGCCAAAAATAAAATGATAGAATGCGACGGTTTTTCTGGTGTATAGAGAAAGAATGGCACGATCATATAGTGCAACCCAATTAATAAACATCACCTGAATTGGGGTTTGATCATGATTATGGTTTAATGTCTAAGATTACTATCTTGATTTCCCCTCAGTTATCCCATATTAAATCATATCTATATTCCGATTTAATCGGGTTTTGGATCCATATTATGGTCTGGATCCGACATTGTTTGTTCAATGAAACAGAATCTGTGCCTGGGGCTAGTAGTTGCGAATGGTTAGCAATCATCCCAACTTCACAACCCCAATCAGTCGACCCCCACACAATCACCATTTGTAGAAACCAGACAAGGATTGAGAGTTGAGATTCCGAGATTCCGAGATTGTGCAGGATCAGATTCATGTGAACACTACTGTAGGACTATGCAGGAGGCCATGATTTGGAAAAAGAAGCTCAACTGTAACTTTTTTCTGTCCGAAAGATTAACATTAACATTTAAAAATGTTCTTTCCATTTGCATCGGAGGAAACATGGAAAGCATATATTGAAAATGTGGGTCAGGTCAGTTGGCCAGGGCATTGGACCGTCCTTGCACTCAAGTTCGAGTTGCCATGCATGCAGGTTAGATTAATTTATAGTAGTTTAGACTATCGTTTGTAAATAAAAGCTTAAAAGCATTTCCTAGCTCAACCCGATAGAAAGTTAAACTTTTGTTTATCATAATACACAGATAGCAATGCCCACCTATTATAGTCAGCCATGATCACACTAAAATTCCCCAATCAATTTAGAAAGATTATACAACAAATGAAGTAAATCACAGCTCTTGTGGTCAGTAAGCAAATCCAAAGCCAATAACCCCCAAAAGCATACGAAAATATAAACACAAGTTAATGTAAAAATAGAAGTTCCCCAATCTCAGTTGAAATTGACAGGGCATCTCCTACTTTCAGAAGTGTGAATGTGAAACGAACATGAATAAAGAACCTTAGCCTGATGCTTCTTAACATTATTTTATCAGCTGTGAATATTTTAAACATATAAGTATGAAGTAAATTCGATTCATTCTTTAATCCTTATAAAATATAGTAAAAGTAAAAGTTCTGGAATTCTGGAGGGATTTTAGAGTGGGTTTGCTCCAGGTCTATTGGCTCTTAGTTTATTTTAATAAAGCATAAGCCAAAAACGTATTCAACCTTTTAATACTGATCCCTTGCATGAGTTTGCAATGTACATTATCATCTGCAGAGAGTCTAGAGATCATATACAAATTGTCGAATTGTATATTCTGCTACAGTAACAGTAATAATCAGGTAAATTATAAACAAGACCATGAAATTTAGGCAGCTATATTGTAAATTTGCAACATCTAGTATAACAATCGTCATCTATTAGTCCTCCTCCTCCATGTCTTGGAAGCACGGCGTAGCTTAATTTTCTTCGTCTTACCAAAAATCTTACCATTTGAACCAATCGATATTTGACTTTGCAAGTCTAATCCATGATGCTTACTCTTCACTCCCCATGTTCTATATTGAACCCGAGTTAGTACTGCCACCTTCAGTTCTGCAGTTGCATTGGATATGGAATTGCGAATAGCTTTCCAAACTTGTGGGTTGGCATCCACAGAGTCAGTCACTTGACGGGTTTTACCTCTTCCTTGATGAAAAGAAGGTATGGTTTTCTCCCCAACAGTCTCTGACCCATAATAGAATCTCAAAATTGTGTCCTCATAGTAAATACTAGAGACTTTGTTGGAATTTTCAATTTCAAGGGCGTATATGATAGAGCCATTTTGACCCCCACTGTCTATATCGGACTTTGGGATGGTGATATCCACAATGGTATACTTAGGGGATTCTGGACGTATGGCCAGCCATAGACAGAGAGCTAGGAGAAGCAGGAGGAGTACGGAAAATTCTAGGAGCCAGCAGTAGAAATTCTTGATCTCGCACATTTTTTCCAATTGTTGATAAAATATTGACTTGTGATTTTTTTAAATGAATTGGGCTGCACTTTGAGAAGGAGAAGAAGGGAAAAGAGGTGAATTCTGCAGTAAGAAGGGAGCAAAAGTGGTAATATCAAAGTTGAGTAGCAAGTTACAAGAGGATTTTTTTTTTTTTTTTTTTTT